TGTATTTTGTTTTGTTTTTAGTGCATTTTGTTTTGTTTTTCGTGTATTTTGTAGCGTACGTTCTTCAACTAACCTTGTAAAACAAACCTATTGCTAATTTCTTTCTACATTCTGGTGATGGTTTCGGTGGACAGTATTGTGGTATAATTTCTGCATTCAACAATTGTATAGCTCCTCGAAGACTATCGTTGCAAAATATATTCTTTCCTAATAAATATTGCTCCGTGTGATGTGCATGTATGAAGTCCGGCGATATATTGCCGTAAACAATCCTTGCTTCTGTAATTACGTTATGCGCGTTTACTTTTAGAAGGAATCCAGCATTGACAATTGCTAAAGCGTTCTGGTTACGTGGTAGTATCTGAAATAATGTAGGTAGACATTAATAAAATTCGGCTGCGAAAACTAACGGCGTTGATGTTGAGTTTTTTCAACAATACAATAAATCCGTGATACATAAAATTTAAATTAATTGTTTAATATCACGACTACATGTTAAAATCAAAGAGATTCTATAACACTGCATTTCCTATAATATTACGAAAACCGTACCTTATAAGTTTTAACAATATTATTTTCTCCTAATGGTGGGAGTTCCACGTTCAACATCAGCTGACCTCGCATGTTGTAGCTCAAGAAATCTATCATAGACAACGATAGTCTTTTGTTACGGGAATTTCCTGAAAACAAAACCGTTAATTGTGTGGTACTTCACCAGCCATGTTATTAACGTACTTTAATGATATTTCCGTTATCAAAATTATTTATAACTAGCTAATGCTCGCAACTTCGTCCGCGTGGAATTTAAAAAAGTAGCCTATGTTACTCGGCGGTTACGTAGCTTCTTAATGGTACAATATTTTTTTGAATCGGCGCAGTAGTTTTTAAGTTATTACGAAACGTACAAAAATCCATAAATACAAATCTTTTCTCTTTACATATTTGTGTAGATTAAAAAAAATAGTTTAAACTTACTCAAAGTCACATAAGCGCCTACCGTTTCTAATAGCAAAAATATATCCGATTGAAAATCTGGTCTCATATGTTTAAGCATTAAATTACCAGCTATGGAGCCGATCTGAAAAATGTTTAAAATTAACAATGTTAAATGCGTTTCATTAGTTTTTTTATAGCAGACGAGCTTTTGCACGCAAACTTCGTTGGCGTGGAATTAAAAAAATGGTCGTTTATAATATGCCCGTATGTCAGCTGCTCTCTAGGAAAAGTCCCGTCAAAATCGGCCCAGCTGCTTCGGAGATTATCTAGAACAAACGCGGCTTGCGGACAGACGGACAATTTTTTAAAAGCCATTTTTGTTATCAGATTTTTTATGCAGACACTCCAATTTTTATTACATGTCTTAGGGCGAAGTAGAGGAGATTGACAAGGAAAGCTGACCCTAATACCATATGGGTTATAGGCTAGGAAGAGAGAGAGATGGAGTATATAGATGGTATTACCTTTCTAACAGGAATGTGCGCCACAAGTTTTATATGTTTAGCTAATTCCGCCAAATATGCGAATCCATACGTTCTTTTTGCTGTCTCTGTGAATATCGTGATGCAATCTTCTAGACTAACATTAGCTCCTAGGACGAGATTCTGACTGAATACATACGTCTTCAGTGATTTGCCGTCACTTATGTCTATCAGTATTCTAGGGTATTCGTAGGTTTTATAAACACCTACAAAATTGGAACAGTGGTATGAATTAAACAGTGGCAGAGCCAGCTTTAACATCTTCATACGAATGGGCCGACGCGTCCGGTGTAATACCACGACTACACAGAAAACAGGCGTGAAGTGGAAGCAATTCCGCGTTTCGTCTGATGAGTGTGGTGACAGAGGCCTAATTTTAGTCCCTTTCCCTTTCCACCCTTTTCTCAAGAGGACATTATGGGAAGTAAAAATAAATTTGACAGTGGAGGAGACGCATAGAAAGGGGAAATATCCTTTTTATTGCGTCTCCTTCTCCGTCAATTAAGGGTAGGCAACGCATCTGCAATTGCGGATGTTTATGGGCAGCGGTCGCCTTTCACTTCGGTGGATTCAGGTGGCCGCTTGCTCTTTTGCCATCTTATATTATAAAAAAAAATTAGAACAACCGTTACAAATTTTATCGTTAGCTGTTTATTATCGTATTTTTTTCTAATACAAATAACATATCACAATATGTATAAAACTAAGTAGGTTGTGGAGATAAGGTAAAATAAACAACCGATATTAAATCTCAGGAGATTCACAAATATTGTTATTTAAATGTTTTCTTACATACCTTTTGCTGTATTCCCATCAACAAACATATAAGAATCATCACCGCAATGCGATAAAACATGAAAAATTTCTTCTTCAGTGAAAGTTTTGTAAAATTTTGTAACACCAAAATTTAAAGATATGATCGATTCATTTATTTCCAACTTATCTATTATACACCAGTCATTTTCGCTGATACTTGAGCATTTCCTTTTGCATTCCTTTTTACATGTGTGTGAATCCTCTATGTCGTTGATTTTAGCGCATAGATCTGAACTTGCGTCTATTGCTAAGGACTTTGCGGTATCCAGTATAGGTCTATAGCCGGTGCAGCGACATGTATTACTGCCTAATGAGTCTTCCATCTGCTTCATTGTGAGATGCTTGTCTAGCAGGCTGATAAAGAACATAATTAATACATATAAATGTGTGTAAATCAACTGTCAAATCAGTTCGCAAATTTGGACTGTTGAGCTGTGTCTCAAGAACTTAATTAGCTCACGGATAAGATGAGAAGCAGCGATTTGGAAACTCGCAAATCACGCATATCACACCTCTATGCAGGTACAAATTGAGTGGCTTTGCGAGCCGGTTCACTGAACTCCTTAAATAATGCAAACCGTGAGCTGATCTGCAGCTCACCAATTTTAGTTCGACACCCATATAATTCGTTCTTTGAGTTCCACTTCGAAATAATTTGTTGAGACCTCGTTTAAATGATCATTTGGGGTGTCTATATTGTTTTAAATCTATACTAAGGTTTACCATTCTGAGTACGGATATGTACGTTTAAATACATTAAGATTTGCAAGACGTACCTAGTAATTTGCATAACCCAGCCGGGAGTACAGTACCCACATTGCGTTCCATTGAACGCAGCGATTCTCTTCTGAACGTCGCTGTAACCGCACAGTCTGTTGCCAACCCCTTCGATAGTTGTGATCTCCCAGCCGTGGCATGAGAATACGAGAACTAGGCACTATAAAATAAAAGCGAAATCAGTAGGGTAGGTAGAGTTAGGCCACCGTACAGAGTGCCGGAGGTAAAGGGCGGCTACAGACGCATGGACGGGCGCCACGTGCGTAATTACGTATGGGTTTGAATGTGCCATAGATCACGCCTATAATTTTTAAACCGTCCCTAAGTTAATCGTTCTTAAATACATTCTTTTCTCATTTATTTCAAAGATTTTAATGTTGCGAGGATTAATTGTAAATCATAACAAATGAAGCTATTATGCAACTAAGTAGTAAATAATTACTTTTAAAAATTACTAGGGAAATTTAATTGCCAGTATGTTCTACGTTAGGCCCGCATTTAACGCCGTGTAGTTTCACAAATTATACGCAATACATAATTGTATTTAATAGACAAGGCAACAATGTTTGAAATACAGTGGGTATTTAACTATTTTAAGTAAATAATGGCAAAGCGTACTTTATTACTTGTAGCGAATACGCTAATAAATCGATAGGATATTGTAATCGATATCGATAATGCGACACCCGCGCCCTCTCATGTGACGCGTAGAAAACAAGGGCCAATGAGGGAGCGCGGGCGCATTGACAGTTAGTTAGTAGAGGATAGACAATATGGCGTAAATTTAAGATGGCGACGCATAATTGAGTTCAATTCTGAACGCAAACGGTGGTACTGCGTTGAAGATATTTTGGTGATTTGAGCCGTAATCTTTAATTGGTATTCATTGGCTCCGAAGACAAAGTTTACCAATTGAGCAACCTTTAGAGCGGGCGCACACTTTTCACTATACTATTGCATAAATGTTGTGTGATTGTCGATTGTTTCGTAGCCCATTTTACTGTTTAGTTGTACAAATAAAATACTTGATTTTCATTGTGTGCACCTTCATTAAAGCTCATAGGAATCAAAGCGCGACTAAACAGTTGTGCGATGTTTTATAATAGTTTTAGGTGTGCGAACGCTGTTACTAATGGCTTTGGTACGCTTCTGTCTGCAAATTAATTCATTCGATGCTCGGTGACGAGTGGGAAGAGGTTTAACTGTTGAATTGAGTACCACAAACTTTTCTATTGACTCATCTATTATCACTGGAAAAGATCTTTATGAGAATTATGAAGTTTTTTTTGTTTACATACAGAGTTAACAGAAAATGTTTCTTTCACGCCGGATGTGGGCCGCTCCGCCCGTACTACCACGATGCAAGCCCCGCAGCCGCCTTGGTGGCACATCGCCTTGGTACCCGGGAGGGATAGGTAATATCGAAGGTAGGCATTTAAAGATGTCTCCCGTGGTATTGTCTCGTTTACTGGAAATAAGGAAAATCAGTTAAACTATGACCCGAAATAAACAAAGAAGTACGCGCCTTAAGCGTGTTTAAATGACGAATAATCTATAGACCAATAAGGTTATCTGATCCGGTGGGTATAAGTCGAACTAAATTATAACAGCTCAATAGTGCCTCCTGGAAACGTCAAAATAGTATCAGGAGGCTATTTTCTATGCATATCTAGGTTCACATTTTCTGCACCAGCCGCGATACCAGCGCCACTTATCAAGACAGATAACCTTGTTCGACTATATTTCTAATATGTTGATCTGATTGTTTCATTGTCAGCGAGACAGAGACAGATAGATATCGTCATCATCTTTATACACAAATTGAATACATCTTGAACAAACATTAAAATATTCGTGCCTTGCAGGTCTAATACCATCTATGTAAATAAGCAAGATAAAACGTAACCTCGAGTTTGTGGAGCCTATTGTTCAGACGTTAGTTATTGAAAGCGTGTAATGGCTTTTAAATTATTGTCAAAGATATTCTATCTATTGGAATAAAATGTATTCGTCAACTTCATTCCCTTGTAAAATCATAAACTAACAAAGTTCCTGTCGGTTATATTAATAAAAATAATTGTTATTATCTGCAATTCGAAAATTCTAAACAATTTGTTATATGCTGTCTCCCGCAACTCCATCTGCGTGGAAAGTTCTGCATATGCCAAATTTCTGCAAGATCCGTTTAGCCGGTTCTGTTGATGCAGAGGAACAAAGATATATACTTTTAAACTCTCGCATTTATAATATTAGTAAGAAATAATGTTTTCTATATTCATACTTTGAAAATAACATACTTAAGTATTTAATACAATACATCTCGACGGAAGTAAACAACCGTTTATTGACTTAAAATGACCACAGAGTAACAGCAAAATTACTGCAATTTATTTTAAAGGCCACGTGAATTTTTTTTTCTTGTCTATTCATATTTCAGTGTTACTCAGGAAGATCGTTTATCTAAATTAATAAAAAAACTTATGGTTTATCTTCCAAGGTTTTTTATTTTTTTATTGTAACTTGATACTTTGTTAAAAGACAATAAGACTTGACTAATATCAAGTCTAACAATAAAATTAACATTTGTATCACTTGTAAATAAGCTAGACGAAAATCAATATAACACCTCTAGTAAAAAATAGCAGTTTACAAAAAACTGTTTTTTATAATAGAAGGGGGCAAATATGCGTCGGGAACTTCGAGGTGTTCAACACCTAGTCCACAATATCAGAGGAGCTGAAGATGCGTTGTTGGCATTTAGAATTTTATTGGAAATATAAATTTATTAATATATCAACACAAACTCAAATTACTATACCAAGCCTAGAAATTTATATAGTTCGTAAGTTTTCTAATACCACGCGGACGAAGTCGCGGGCAACAGCTCGTAGAATAATAAATTTGAATTAAAAAATTGATGATAAATTATAAATGAAAAGAGGAAAAACCCGTCATACATGTATAGATTACAGGTTTTCCTTATAATCAATTAGAACATTAAAAGAAAGAGTAATTTCGTCTAAAGGCGTTTATAACACGAGTTTTTACTAATGTAAAGGAAATGTTAGCAATAACTTCGACAATTAAAGCGTTTATCGTGTATTTACAGTTTTATAGTCGAAAACGTTTTCAAGCTAGATTAGAAATTTACTTGTTGACTATTACGTTTTATTATATTTTTGCCTTTTGAACAAACGAATACACTTTTTCACATATGTATTAGTTAATAGCTCGAACACTGTGATCCCGTTCAACTACGATAAATTTTACTAATAAATAAAAGATACCACGCATATAATCCAATCTATTTTATAAAAATCCATTACAACATAAATAGAAGAAAAAGTTACAATATATTATATATCATGTTTACGATAAAAAATAATTACCTGAACATTTTACTCCATTAACAGTAAATTCAATACAGGACATGTTGAAATTAAATAAAATGTAATAAAAAATATCTAAGCAGGTGTTACTTCACATTTAGTTAACTTTAAACTGACGATCCAGTTCACAGTTATTTTTTTCAGACGTGTGTCGACATTTTAGGGTTCCTAAACAAATACAAAAATCCATAAATATAAACGTCTAGGTTTTTGCACATTTATACAAAAAAACGATAAAATACTAATTGTTAATTTTTTTTTAAAATACACATTTACCATCATTTGATAGGTACCTGTTTTATTACGTAACTATTAAAGTTATAAATAAAAAGTCACGATATATCGTACTTAGTAAAAGGTTCCGTACAAGATAAATAGATTTTAATTGTGGAAACAAGTTACTTGGGTAATTTAAAATTTTGAGGAATTTAACGTCTAAATATGTTAAGGGCTTTTGGTATGGATAACGGTTAGAGTTACTAGCGCCCTGGGCGAGTATCATAGGGGCCCCTTTTTCAATAAATTTAGGCGGGGGGCGTGTTGTCTCGGTTATGTAAGACTTTGTGATTCTTAGAACCGTGACGCCCCTTTCTAGCGCCCTGGGCGGTCCTATGTGTTAAATAAAACCACAAACATCATTAATATATGTTTATTTTGTGTCTTTAAGGAATTTAGTAAATCATTAAAAAATTACAATCATAAAATAATTTAAGTCGAAATTAGGTCGCTATTTAGGCCTTCTGTTAACAAAATTTAATTATATCTAAAATTAATTACAACCGAGATTAAAACAGAAATAAAGACGAAAAAAAAAACAAATTTCAATAAATTACCGATTATATATCAAACTAAAACTTACATAAATCTTATAAAATAAGAGAAAAATTCGTCAATACTATATGTAAAATATACATTATAGGTCTATACACAATCGAGTCAACAGTAAGTGTTATGCAAAAAGTGCGAACTTTACTCTAACAGACAAATTTACGCAAATATAGACTTTATTACCCGCTTCATAAAGTCCAACATCAAAATTCTTAATATACAAAAATAATACAAAATCAGAACATTTAAGCTTTGGCTCGTTAAATATTACACTAATTTGATCATTTACTTAATAATGTCTATTATTACTGAAACATGGAACTAATCAGCAATGGAAGCGTCTTCTTAAAACATTGTCAAAAAAGTCCAGTTTACATTATTCCAGTCCAGCGAATCCAGCGCTGGATTAAAACTTAAAACATTTGTAAAATGCATTTAAATGTATAACATATTTCCAGTTTTAATCCAGTGATCTCGATCGCTAGACTGGGATAGTGTAAACCGGAACATTATGGTAAGCCGATATACAAAATAACAGCTCAAAAAGTCAGCTAAAACATAGGCTTTCAGTTTTTCTAAACAAAAAATATATTTCCAGTTGGAATTTACATTAGTTACTTAAAATATAAATTTACATAAAACTGTTAAGATCAGAATTAACATAATTTATCAAATATTGTATATGCAAATGTACACAGTATGAACGGTAACGTGTCTTTGATGTAGGTACTACGCGTGTATGATAACATGATTGGCCAATGACGTCACCTTGGGACGTGCCAAGTGTCAAACGAATATATATGCCACCGAAATAATTTGAAGTTTTTTAATTACTTTGCGTAACAAACAAGAGCGGTAGTTATCTTAAGGATATAGGGTTGTCACTTGCTATTTGGACGTAAAATTAAATAAATAACAATTTAAAAAATAGTAGAAATCGATTATTATTTAAGGTTTTTATTTTCGAAGCGATGAAAATTAAATACCAATCATGTTAAGGTACAGTTAGTAGAAAATTAAAACCCTATTTCCACAAAGTAAGATACAATGATCACACAGTTGCTTAGAGTAGATACGTTTGTTCACTAACAGACAAATTCTGAAACGAATGTCAAATACTTCGTAATTGCCGCTTACAATCTGTATGACGTCATAATTTTAACGCAATTTGAAGTTTCGTTGCCTTATCATTTAAGACTGAGATATTTATTTCAGTATTTAGCCGTAACAGTTCTTTAAAGGCTTGTCCCACCAAATTGTAAATTGTCTCATAATAATCCCACGTGTAAAATATGTGATAGAAATATCGGAATCGGAATGACGTCATTTTTAAGCT